CCCCTAATTGTAAGTCTTCTATTACAATTGTATCTCCCGGGACTTTTCCCAGGCAATTTCTCGCGCATTATATTTGCGAACAGACCGAAAGTCCCACTCCTCGGGCGCGACCGAGCTTGTCCGAGAAATTCGCTGGTTGACGAATCAAGCCGGAAGTAGAAGCGCGAGACGAATGAGTCACTCTAATCGTCGTGGCGAACCGGCGCGCGGCGGCTGGGGATCGATTTCGACAGCTTCGTTGCACGCGACATCGTTCACACGAATTATACTCGCGAAAACACTCCAAAGTCTAATCTGTTCTCATTCTCAAAACAAATCAAACAGATTCATTAAAAACTTTCATCAAAATAATACGGGAAAGAAATAAGATCCGTATTCTGAATCCCCTCTTGTCGCTAAAAGTGCCACTAAAGTTGATTTTGAAGGATCCTTATTGGTTAAGGGGATCTTTTAAAAGTGGATTCAGAATTTGGGCCTAGTTTAATCTACACTGTGTCTTTCGCAACGAGAAACATTATATTTTGTAGGGCAAATCGATATGCTTAAAAAATTTGTCGACAATGCACGATTGTGCGATGTATAATATACAGTTAATCAACACGCAGATTTTTTAAACGTGTTTATTGGCTACAAAATAAAGTGTTTCCAGGGGCAAAGAACACATTGTAGATCGGGTTTAAGGCCCGGTTTTTCATTTTCTGGTTAATTGTTGACCAAAGGTTAGTCAACTCTCTGCCTCTTCTCAAGTAAAAGCATAGAAAAAGATGGAGAATCGTCTAACTTCTGGTTAACAGTTAACCAGAAAATGTAAAACCGGGTCTAGGAAGGCCAGGGCACGAACGATTCTGCCTCGGATTCTGCTAAATGCATTCGTAGTTTACCGTCCATAGTACGAAATAGTAGACGAAACATTGTGGACGTTTCGACGGTACTAAAGCCTAATCTACAATGTGCTCTTTGCGTTTAGAAACACTCTATTTTGTAGCCAATAAGCGCGTTAAAAACATTTGTGCAAGTTGATATATTGTACATTATACGTTGTACAATTGTACGTTGTCGACGAATTCTTTTAAGCGTTTTGAGTTGCTCCTATAAAACCGAATGTTTCTACACGGAGAGAATTTTCTCTTAAAATTTGTTCTGAAAATTATGTGATCGTGGGACAACGCGGCATTTCGAAGAATTCTATGAGTTTTTTGAAATTTTACCGTACACGGAGAGAATTTTCTTTTCAACTTTATCCTGCCTTCAAAATGCCATCAAACTCTTTACCCTGAAAATCATGTAATTGTGGGACAATGTAGCATTTCGAAGACTGTTATGAGAGTTTTTGAAATTTTGTCATACATTTCACTAGTAAATATATTTAGTATACATTTTACTAATAAAATGTCGAGGGACTCGTAAAATTCTTCAAAACGCCATGTTGTCCCACGATCACGTAATTTTCAGGGTAAATTTTTTCCGTGTACGTTTTATTAGTAAAATGTGTACTAAGTATAATTACTAATAAAATACATGGTAAAATTTCGAAAAACTGTCACAAAGTTGTTCAAAATGCCATGTTGTCCCACGATTTGCAGGATAAATTGTAAAAGAAAATTCTCACCGTGTAGACGCAAGGCAATTAAGACCCGGCACTATATTGGCTGATCTCTTTTGCAAGGTCGTATCTCGATTTTACGCAATTTTCGGTTTTTCTGCTTAGACACTCATTTCAGACTGGGATAAGTGTTTAAACAGAAAAACGGGAAATTGTGTAAAGTTCAGATACGACCTTGCGAAAGAGATCAATCGATATGTCAATCCTTTTTCTTTCTGGGTGAAAGAAAAAGGGCCGACATATAGTTCCGACGTATACTTTTAACGACTCATTGGCCTAGTTTACACCGGTCATTTGATACGCGTATCAAATGGTGTATTTCAGCTAATCAGCCAATGACAAACCTATTTACTAGTTATTTATTGTTTGATACACGCATCAAACCATCGGTATAAACTAGGCCCTTGTATGCCGAGCCTAAAGCAAAGAATGCAAAAATTAAATGAAACCTGCAAACTGATGTAAATTTATTCACGCCGCAATTCTTCCTTTTTCAAATAAAGGGTGCTTTCCCGTAAGAGACAGATTGACACAGAGTGTAAAGCAGTGTAAAGCCAGCGGCACACGATGCTATTTTTCTTACTGGATTGCTTGCGAATTAGTAAATTACTAGAAATCCTAGATGCTGAGTGATGCAATTATAGTAATTTACTAGATCGCAACCAACCTAGCAGGAAAAAAGCGTCGAATGCCGCTGACTTTACACGGAGAATTATTTCATCCTCGTTCAGTAATGGCAAACAACAAAGGTAAAACGATTCGCTGTGTCGCACAGTGTCGCCTGTATACGTTGCTGGAAAGCGCCGAAAAGTAAGACGCTCGCCCGCGTCGCGCGGAGTTCCGCGCGCGCGAGAGAGCGAATTTTGATTTCGTTTCAATTTCCGCCGGGGTCGCGGTTCGCGCCTCGACGGAAGGCGGGCGCGCTGTTATCCCGCGCGGCCGAGAGGCGACCGACGGGCCGGGTAAAAGGACGTCGCAATTTCGCACGCGACGGCGCGCGCGAATGATCCGATCCAATTTGAATCTCGCGTCGCACGGTACTAACCTCTGCCGACGCTGTGGGTCGCGGGAGCACGACCCGACTCGCGAAGGGGATGAAATTTCTCCACGGACGCGAGCCACCGCACTCGCCGTCAGGCTGCGGCGTCGTTCTCGTGACCGAAGGCGCTTCCGTGTTGCACCGATTCGCGCGTCAACGCGAGACAAGAGGGAGAAAGAGCGGCGCGAGAGGAGTCGCACAACCGACACGGTCCGCGAGACGCGGGAGTACTACGTCGAGTTCGCGGCGACGCTCAAAGATATCCGGACACGTCCGTCGCGCTGCACGGCCGGACGACGTCTGCCTGTCTGCCCGGTCCGGTCTGCCGCGCGATGCGATGCGCGCGAGGCGCGTGAGCCCGTCCCCGGTTGTCATAGCGTCGAGCCGCGGTGATTGGCGGAGCAGCGCCCGGGGGCGGTGCTAGGCGCGAGGTGCACACCCGGCTTGAACCTGTCTGCACCCGCCGAGAGCGCCGAGAGAAACGAGATTCTTAACGTCACGAGGGTCGCGAGTACGGCGACGAAAGTGACGCTCGCAGAGAATCGTAGCTCTCTTTGAGGAGCTCGTCTTTCATGTGACTTCATTAAATCGCCACCTCTGCACAATGTCAGTTGTCTATGTGTTTGCGCGGTATACGCTTGTATTCACGGCGCGCATTCGTTTATCTTCGTCACCTGCACTCCTCCTGCACTCTTTTGCGGTTAAATCGAATGACACAAGGGTGATGGCGGCCACTCGACGGCACGTCACACAAGTTCGAGTATTTGAAAAGGTACGGCTTTGCTACTCGCGCTTATCTTGGCATAATCGAATAATTATGAGATTACTCGCGCGTCGAACGTATCATATAGAGGCATTGGTATATTTGCTAGTAAGTGCGTTTCAAATGATAACTAAGAAATATCACGAGACACGGTAGTGTCTCGCGCTAAGTATAAGCTAGCTAGAACCGCGTGTGATGAATCAGGATCGATATGTATCCTACAATTAAATTAGAAAAGGCGACCTTTTAATAAAATATTTATTTGTGTTAAATTTATTTGCATTAAATTTTTATGGAATATGGTAAGTATTTAAAATTTGTCTCATTAATATTATTTCCTTTATTTCTTCCGATAAAATTTTACACTCGGTTGTTTGGCTATAACATTTTATAAAAAATAATAAAGTACCTAGTTTGTATAAATATTCAGTTTAGTTGGCGCCATTTGATGATATCATTACTTTTGTAGAGAAGATACTTGGAGGGGGGAGGGGGAAATAAAACCTTTTTTTAGTAAGATATCCAAATAATTAAATTATATAATTCTTGATTGGATGACGCTTATACTTGGCGTCTTTTTAAACCTTTTTTTATTAAAAAAGGTTATTTTTTAAGTTAAATCAACATGTATAAAAGGTACATAGGGTAATAATTTGTGAAATTTTGACAATTATACTTTTTCTCTCTTAAAAATTTCTCTACTTGCCTTTATTTAACATCTGTCTTTGCATTCTTGAAATATAAATCTTGCATTTTTAAAAATACACAGATTTTCCTTCTTTAACACTTTTTCACAATTATTAAAAATAATTATTTTACAGGTATGTGAATAACAGGAATGTATTGGTACACTCGATATATTATGTCCTTGCAAATTATTATGTCGCTGTACATATCTAAAGGACCGTCTACATTGCAAGTAAGCAGTAAAAAGTAAAAGAACAATAACCTTTACCTCTCGGTATAAGAAAGTTAAAATGCAGGCACAATTTTTAAAATACTTGTAGCACTGATCGACTGCGCTCTGATTTGTCAAGAGTGAGAGCTAAAATACCCATACAGCACAAAACTTGCCGTTACATTGTTGCAATGTAACTGCAAGTTTTGTGCTCCGTATGGGTAGAAGCAAGAAATAAAATTTGTTTACTTCCTTACTCCTTGTGCCAGGTTTTTACCTATTGTAGCCGGTCTTTTAACGTATCATCGAACATGCCCTACTATCGTTCAAACTCTGTTCGTTTAACTCCTCAATTTTTTCTCGCAGCAACTGTTCGAGCTTGCGTGCATCAGCGGCGAATTTGCGAATGCCGTCGCTCAACTTCTCGATCGCCATTTGGTCCTCGTTTAAAAGCCATCTAAATTCGGCCTCGTTTACGCTAATCTTCTTAAGGTCGCACTCCTTCGCCGATTCCACACTCAGAACCCTGTGCACGGGCTTGTCGCTGTTGTCCAATTCTTCCAATAGCTTGGGACTTATGGTGAGCAAATCGCAGCCGGCGAGTTCCATAATTTCATCTAGTTATCAAAAGTTCAAGCAAAAGAATAATAAAGTTAACTGAATAATAATATTTCTGCATCCTGTATTTTACAATTTGTTTAAATAATAGTTTACAATATAAAACTATAAAATTATACATTGTATAAATATTAATCGAGATACGTACCGGCGTTTCTGAACGAGGCACCCATCACGACTGTTTTATAATCAAATTTCTTATAATAATTGTAAATCTTCTTCACGGAAACAACACCAGGGTCCTCCTTAGCCTTGTAAAACTTTTTATCTGTATTTGTCACGTACCTAAACAAGACTTCTTATCTTTACTCTTACACAAATTAGCAAGCAAATGAGATCGAGACACTCACCAGTCGAGGATTCGACCAACGAACGGTGAAATGAGAGTAACTTTAGCCTCCGCGCAAGCAACGGCCTGGGCAAAGGAGAACAACAGCGTCATATTGCAGTGGATTCCATGTTTTATTTCCAACTCTCTAAGAAAAAAAAGATTTATCGACGATTAACGGGGTATGTTCATTAATCGAGTATAAGATGCACATTTTAATTCTTATTTACTGCGCCGCTTGGATGCCTTCCCATGTCGCCGCGAGCTTGATCAAGATGCGCTCCTTGCTTATTCCGAGCTTCTCGTACATAGTGACCAATTTTTTCGCCTTTTTGACACTGGCCTCCCTATTGAAGGACAATCTGGCGTCCACCTCGGTGGAAACTCTCCCGGGTATTATACCCAAGATCTCTTTGCCGAAGAATACACATATCATATCGAGGGCATGCTCAACCTGCTCGTCCAAAGTACTGAAAAAAGAGAATCTCTACGTTAAATAAAATTTAAAATGTCATGCATAATTAGAGGAAAGTCCTCTATTATGAAATAGAATTCTAATACGAGATAACAGGTTTTCAACGTTCAAATTGAATTATACGATCTAACAATCAATTTTCCACTTAAACATTTGTCGAAGAGACCCGACGACCGCCAACCGATCTATCCGAATTGACGAGCGCACGACTTGACGATTGGCTGAATGTAAAGAAAGCTCGAAGAGAAGGATTCTCATCTTCTTCCTTTCAATCTTTCTCTTCGAGCTTTCTTTACATTCAGCCAATCGTCAAGTCGTGCGCTCGTCAATTCGGATAGATCGATTGGCGGTCGTCGGGTCTCTTCGACAAATGTTGCTATCTCACTTCAGTGTGCACTCGACTCACTCACACGCAGCGGTGCCCCGCGCACGAGCCGAGAAATCGCCCGAACATCCGGGACCTACTCATAATAGGGGGACTTTTCTCTGTTAATATATTAAACCACTCTTTATTTAATCTTATTAATCCTATTAATCTTCTTAATATTAAACGATTTAATTTTCAGTACATCGCTAGAAGGTTTAAGAGATTAAGTCGTGTTATAATAAATATATATACTTACGACCCGCATTTTTTGCCATATTCCGCGGCTTGCTCAAATAAGTGAGCGTACTTCTTATGAGTTGCGGCAGCGAGGATCAACGAGGGATTTGTCGTTGCATCCGTGGGCTTAAATTGTTTCATAGCTGTAGGGAGAATAATTATACAATAATTAATATTATAAATATTTACTCGTCGCGTTTGCAGTGTTCGCGATTACTTCCATTTTATTTCGATTATTATATCCACATTTGTATCCGTTGCTACTTAATCGTTGTTATCCGCTATTATTTAGTCCGTTATGATTTAAACAATCCGTTCAATCCGTCTCTATCAAAAGGATAGGCGCGATAAGTATTCTACTCTTATGGCTCCTGCCCACTGGACGCGG